TTCGAGCAGTTACCGGTACTTCGAATATTTCCAGGCAGATAGACGAACTATTAGGTTGTCTCATAATTTTATAAATTTTGATGCTTGACTGCAATAAATTATACACTTCTCAAATCTAATTGGGAATCAGGGTTTTATCAATAGAGCGAAGCAAGTTCTATAAGACGGCATATAAGTGTTCGCACCAGCTACAGCACATTACGACTAAGAACTCGAATACAACCACAGATTCTCAGCGCTCTGTAAGCTCTAGTTTCCAAGAAAAATGGCATTTAACTTTTCTGCCTAGGGTATTTTATGTTGCAATCGATATTTGTCGAAAACTAGAGCCTGTGGAGAACCGGAAATGTGTAGTTATACTTCTAAAGGCTTGTGGTATACATTTACCTATGTGAGAAAAACACTCTCCACCTATATGGGAAAACATCGCTTTTTCAAAGCCTGAAATTTCTTGATTTTCTTGGTTAGTAGCACAGAAACAAGTACCAAACGACATATATGAATGGCTTATGTGGAGTGTATTTGCGGGAGCAAGATTGGGAACTGGTAAGTTTTTTTAAACGAAGATATAAAAGCTCTTCGATTTTTCGAGCATGTGAAGCGATAAGGGTAGTGCAAATGCCTACATGCCATTTTATGGAGTTTGCTTTGCTCTATAGAACATCCCTGCATCCTGGATAGGCTGAGTTCATACTGACTCCCATCTGGAACTGGCACAGTTCCCGCACAGTTCTCGCACTGTGCTGGAACTGTTCCGGAACTGTGCTGCATGGGCTGCAGCCGCCCCACACCGTTTTGAACGGCGGGAGTTGGAGAATTATGACCGTTCTGAACGGTTTTTCTTTCGGATTCCTCTCATTTTGGCCTTATTTCTCCACCCCGCTTTCCTTTTTAATCAGAAAAACTTCGAACTCGAAGCGGGGTTGAAGAAAGAGCGCTTTTCTGCTCCATCTATCCGGAAAGATGGGCCTTCGTGCGCTCGTCCATTCTCTCATCGCTATTTTTGCTCAAAATTACTTCATTTGTTCCAGGAAGCCGCTGCATAGTTTCCATAGCCATCTTCCACAAATTAGAGAGTAGGGGCAGTTCTGAAATTGCATTTATTGGGACTTGTCTCTTGTTCTTAATGAGTTTCGTTTTTGGGCGTTCTCAGCCCTTTTCTTTTTTCCATATCGTTGCTTCTCCGTTCCTTCTTCTGCCCCGCTTCTGATTGCGATGAGAAAAGCTGCGAACTTGAAGCAGGGTTGAGGACTGAACGGTATTTTGCTTCATGTATCCGGGAAGAGGACCTTCCGCTCGTCCATCTTCTCTGCCATTTTTGTTCAGGCCTACTTCATGTGTTTTAGAGACCTGTCTATGTCAATTTCAATACAGATGCGAGACTACGCAGTGCCTTCCCAGAACACATGAAGTAGGTCTGAATATCACCATGTGCAGCACCGGTCCGAAACGTGTTAAATGAGAGGAGTACTGAAAGCCTGCGATGATCGTCGCTTAGGTACCTATGGGAAGCTGGTCATTCGAAAAGTAGAAGCTTAGGTTTGACTCCGCCAATATTTGTTTAGAAGATATGAGCACAAATCGAACAACAGTTGCAACGAAGTGCGGCAACGCGAACGGCGCGTGCGACGTCGCAACTTTACTTTGTTTCAATATCAAAGGAAAAAACCGTAGTATCAATACTGATGTGTACCGTCCACAACATAGATACTTTTGAATATTATTGGAAACTGAGTTCTTGTTTTTATCTTTCAGGGAAGCACAGGAGACCTTCTCAAGTGGCAAAATTCAAACACTTCAAATTCACTCAGAACTTTGGGTATGGAGCTTATCCGACATGGTCATTGCAGACGTAGCACTTAGTCTTCAAAAAAAGATCCCTTTGTTGGCTAACGGTTGAAAGAACACTCTTTTTCGCCGCGCGCGATTTCGCGGTCCGAAACATGTTAAGCTTCTCACAGAAGTTGTTCTTCTCTCTTATATGATTTTATAGGCGGCGGTGCAAGAGGAAGCAAAGGCGGTAATTTTTCACAATTGATAATGAGTCCGCTTTGAGAAAATCTAGCGAATTTGCCTTCAGCATGCTCCCATTTTAAATAAGCAACGTTTTCACTACTCTAGCTTTATTTTCGTAATGAGAACATTATACGGAAACAAAACTCTCGAAACTTTATGAGAATATTCTGACAAGGGAAGGATACCAACTTAGATTCGCCTTTGGAGATTAACACATATATTTGGAATCAGCTTCGAACGCTGATTCCAAATGTACTGTTCTTAGCTGCTTAGCATTATTCCGAAGCGAGTTGTGAGCTTGCTGTTGTGAGTGACTAACAAACTTCTGAATGTCGTAAGACATAGCTAAAAATCTGCTCGAAAAAAGTGCTAGGATGTTGAACTAGCATCAGATTAATTATTTGAATCGTGGAAGGGGGCATTATACAATTGCAAAACCACCTATTGCGTAGAAAAGAAACCATAACTCGCTTCAGAATAACGCTAAGCAGCTAAGAATGGCATCTTTGAAATCAGCGCTCTAAGCTGATTCCAAGTGTATGTGTCTCATCTCAAAAGGCAAATCTAAGTTAGTATCCTTCCCTTGTGAGTTTCAAACGGATGACAATTGGGTGGCGAAAATTCAGTTTCCAGTTGTGAGTGAAACTTTTTGCATTGGTTTATACTTCCTCGAAAGATTTTTGACTGTAATTTCTGTTTCAAAGCCTCCAAAATCAATATTTATTCATAGGGTTCAAAAATTTTCGGAACTGAAGTGTCTGTCATCTGAGATGATGATTGTGACATAGCCAACCAAATTGGTCTCCATCTTTTCGAGAAAAATTTCGTCGAAGCGGAGGGTAGAGTTTCATAAATGTGGAATAGACCTTCCATGCGGTTCTGTAAAAGAGGTGAATTTTCTTCCTATCAAAACGCTCCGAACTTCCAATGCAGATTTCAAATTTTTTTTCGTACCTTTCAAGAGCTTCTCTAGATAAAAGTACAAGGATCCAAACCACATGACTCAGTGCCATGTTCCGGATTTTTGCGATTAAGTCACCGCCATGCAGGCCCTTTCAATTCTTTCTTGCAGAAGTCGGTAAGCGATCTATAACAATAGTTGATAACTTAAGGTATTTTGATAGTTCAAAGAGCTTCCTTCTTAAGTGTTTATCTTTTATTTTTGTTAGTCAAGTATTATAAGATTTCAAAGCGGCATCTTCATGCTCTATCACACCTTTTCTGAGAAAGGGACAGCGCGGTAAACACCATATAATTGCGGAATATTTCAGTGTGTTATAGTAGAGTGCAAAAAGAAATGCGTCCTGTGTTCGTGAAATCAGAATATCTTCTTAGGCTAGTATTCACATCGTTAAAGATAGAATCAAAATTTCCACTTATATTTCTCCAACGTGGGCAAGAAAAGTTTTACTGCTAATTGATAAGTATCAAGCTGAGCGCGCAGTGGAGGTACTGAGTGAAGTTGACCTTGACACATGTTATACAAAGCGCAATTTCTGTAAATTTTTTTCGGATTATCTGAAGTCTACCGTACGCAAATTTGAGATCAGAAGGACTGATCTTGTATTTACCATCCGAGATATCGTCAATTCGCTGACGATTCTAAAACGCTACGGACCACGTGCGGCGCGGCTGAAATGTTGCGAGAGCACAATTTGTACAATGGCGAATTTGTATTGAGGCAAGCGTTTTACCTCGCGGCGCGTGCTCAGAAAGGATGTCCGTCCGTGTTGTCAACGAGTCGACTATTATATTGAGTTGTAACATGAGTTTGCACAAAATGGGACAAAATCGCAGTAAGTCATATTCCATTCATATTCCATTAAGGCTTTGTAAAGTCATGCGATAGTGCAAAGCAAGTTCTACAAGATGACATCCGCATTCACACCAGCTTTGATCAGCGCGAAGTTTGCAGTCAAAAACCAACTCAGACAAATGACCGGAACCGGGTCACCTGCGGAAGTTCCGTGAACGTGCTGCGGAAATTTCGAAATGAGGTCCTGCGGAAGTTCCGAAGAATGCCAACCACAACAGCAAAAGAGAACACCGAAGCGAGATTTGAACCTCACTCTATTAACTGTGAGACCCACCTACTACCCTCTACACTACGGCTGACATGTTCGATAATGCACTCTAATTGTTGTCGAGGCAATATCACGAAATATCCAGAACTTCAGCAAGACTTTGAATGTGCTGCACATTCAAAGTCTTGCGGAAGTTCTGGCAGGCCAAGCGCTGCGGAACCTCTGGCATTTTTTTCGGAATTTCGTAGGATTTTGAAGAATGTTTTGCGAAAGTTCCGGTTTTCAACCAGTTTGGCATGAAAATCCCGCGGAAGCTCCGATTTTCAACGTTTTCATTTTTGCAATAGTGAACAGTATCCTGCGGAACTTCTGCAAATTTGACTTGTCCTGCGGAAGTTCGGTGATTTGCCTGTGAAAAAGATATGAAGGGTTGAAAGATCGAGAAATGTCGGAACTTGTTCTAAATAACTTGCAAATCTGTAACAACTTGCTCAGTACCTGTTTATAGATACACCCTGGCTGTCCTAGACAATCAGAGACATCGTGATAGAAGTGGGAAGCTATGATGTCAGGTTTAGCATATAAGTAATGGAACTTCTTCTGCAAGAATAGTCCCTTAGCATTGCAAATATTCTTCTAATTTTTCAGGTAGGTGGGGCTATCGTTCGATAGAGATAAATAAGCTTTATAAACTGATCTTGGAATACTTGCAGCAATTTAAGTCTGCCATGAAAACCGTAAATGAAAGCTACATTTGACATTTCTTCGAGATCAGCTCTTCTAGACTAAAAATGTTTCCAAGTTTCGTATGTTTTCGACTTGGGCATTCTTCGTAGATGTAGCATGTTTTTTTTTATGCTATACTGGTTGTTTCGTGAATTGCTCCTGTCATATCATGTCCGTTACCTCAATAGCAACGGTCTTACCTTTTAACGCTTTCGTCTTTGTCTAGGGCCTAGAATGATTCAAAGCAGCAGTGACTCCAATAAGCTAAACCTCTCGCACATTCCGTTCTTTGGCAGCAAGGTCACAATTTTATCATGCGGAGAAGACATCTCCGTTAGAAGGTTTGTGGACCTTCCGCATTTCTGCAAGAGATCCAAAAATGAGAAACAAAAACGTCTATCAAATATCGGTAACTTGTTCGCCTTCATATCTCCACTGGATTATGACTGTAGATAATCTGAAATGCAATGCTATATATAAGGCATGTATGAAATCGTGACGGCGGATTCGATCGGCCTTTGCGCTCAAATGCATTTGCATACAACTTTCAAAGACGCTCGCTCATTTCAAGTATTTAGCAACTAACGAAAAGAGAAGTAAGTAAGGAAAATGCGAATGTTGAAAACGCGTACGCGACGCAAGCGGAAGCCGCCATTGTCACGATTTTATGAGCAGCTATGGCCGGCAACCATCTATTATATTTCCGGTACGAACATCTGACTGATGAAAGGGTGGTTTCCCTGTTATCTCTTTGCTTTCGCGATGCCTACTCAACTAGATTGGCTGGAGGCTGGCGGAACTAGATGAGACATTCTGCGAACTGGTTCACTGAATAAGCTTCAAACCATTCTAGGTCTGAGCGAAAGGTGAAGGCCGTTGATACTCCTTTTCAATATTCTGAATTTTTTCTAAAGAATTGTAGCATACAAGTCTAATATGATAGCACAGCGCTGCTCCGGCAAGAGCATGAAATTTTTCGTTTTCCGAATTCAAGCCGGGGGAAAATAGAGCAACTGTACTCATGGATGTATGATGTGGAATGTATATGCGTAAGCGAGAAGAAGAATTTGAGTGAATTTTCTTTGGACTGGATTCGGGTTCTTACTCAATTTGCACTGATTCTCAATCTCTCTTCAGTTCTTGTGGCTTTAAACTTTGTTTGGATCTAAGGTGGTGCAAATTGAGCAAAACTAGAGCGCCTTTGCTCTTTCACGTGGTACTTAGGAGTTTATTTAGAATGCACTGGAGACAGCTTGGCACGAGGTGGACAAATACCAAGCTGGAAATCGTTTTGGAAAGCAAGGAGCTATTGTACTTATGCGTTTACATGTACATACATTTTTCGACATGCTGCTACACGACTAACATGCAAAAACACGATCTTGCTCGTGTCTCATCTCCAATCCATATTTTCTTCTTCTCGTATAAACGTCTCGGTTACAGCGCACCATAACGATATGACTAAGAAATTGGAGTATAAACGGACATGGACTAGGAGAAGCATAGTGGAGTGCTGTGGAAAAATTATGCGACTAAAAGTTGTGGCAAGCTATTTTCCTGAAAAATTTCCAATTACCTCAAAATGATAAAATGGCTCGTTTGCTACGCACAAATGACGATATGGCATGAAATTTGGTGTGCATATGCGCAGTGGGACTGAGGAACAAAATGTAAAAAATTGTGAACAATTTATGTGAATGAATAGCGGGTTTAACTTTATTCCAAACTAGGTGCAATTGGCCACCTAATGTCCACCGTGGACAAAACTTCAATTTCACGTAAGTTCCAAAGTTTTTACATAAATCTGTTCTACATCTAAGATTTAGTACATAGTAACACTTTGGTTCCAAAACTCCTCCCTCCTCCTTATTAGGATCCAGCATAGCCACAATGCTGGTTCTTTTGAGGAAGAAAACCGCGCTTCAATTGAACACCCCACCGGCTGGCGGGATCAAGTGAGAATCGTAAAAATCTTCAGTGGCAAAGGCGGAGTCGTTTCACCGATGTCCATTTGCAAGGCTTATGGACCAGCCTAAAACTTTTTTGTTTTTGAACACGCACTCTGTTTGGCGTCGTGAAAGTACCAGTGCGTCACCTCTGCTTCGCAGAGGCTCGCACTGGTTCTACTCTTTATGCCTTACTTATTCTCTCCTAATAATGGCTTTGAAACTCACCGCGCAATGCTGACTATCGCGAATAAAATGTAAATAATTGTTCATTCTAAAAGCTTTTTATGTGAGATCGGTGATTTCCGCGTGGATGTAAAATTTCGCAGAAGAACAAATGCAAGTTTGAGTAGGTTTTGAAACTTTTTTTTGGCTTGGTATTCGCCATGAGGACAATAGTTACCGTGAGCTACATCTCTATGCAAAAATTTTTCTCAAATGCTCAGGTAAATCCATGGCGGATTGATCATTTACGCGAACACTTGTTTTTGGCGTCGTTTTCGTAAAGTAGCAAACCTTTGGTCACTTTTTGGTCTAAAGTTCATGACTTACACATCAACCTGCTAAACACATCCACGGCTTTGCAAAAAGCGTTGATACGGACCCTTTTGCGGACCAGAAGCGAAGTGGATCCGCTTGACGCGCAAACTGAGGGACCCACCCAGCGAATCCGTTCGTGCTTTTGCATGATGGAGTTCTACGTTGGTAGCATGCGCTATGCAAAATTTGAGCTCTGGATGTTGGCTGGAACACGCTCTACGAATTTCGTAACAGACACACACACACACACACACACACACACACACACACACACACACACACACACACACACACACACACACACACACACACAAAGTCACGTAAACACCCTTAGCCCGTTATTATAAGTTATGATTATGTAAGAGCTGCAAATGCAGCCATTGCCGCTAACAAGTCATAACCAGAGTTGAGCAAGAGGTCAGGCAAGTCTTTCAAACGACCTCCTCCCCTTCCATGAAAGCCCTTAAACGACCCCTTCTTCCTATTCATGGCCTCCGAACCTCAGAGTGTGACATTCTGGAGAATATCATCCTTTTCTAGAGAGTTTTCACATTTTTGATAACTGTATGCCCGATTTTCTGTGACTGCGCTTTACAATCACATGTAATTTGACGCCTGATTTTGATCTGAATAAATCTACCGAAAGGACCATAATTTTTCTAGGGATGGGGCTTTCGGCTCCAAATTCTCATTGTAGCAAGAAGAAGCTACGAGCTCAATACTCATAGCAGGAATAGAGCGATTTCTGGATTCTGAAGGCAAGTTAATGGGATCAGTCGCAACCCCTCAAAAGCTCAGGCCTCCTGACCCGTTGAGGGGTTGCGCCTGACCCGATTAACTTTATCACCGAAGAAGCTTTTCCACCTTGGTTTTATATGATTCTCTAGAATAAACCTCGAAGATTCTGCAGCAGCTGTTTGAGCTTATCTCGACTTGTTCTGGCTTTGTGATGATCACAAATTGAAGAATGGAATTGAAGCACTTGACTTGAAAATCGCGGTAACTAACATTTTGGGAGCACTTCTTAATCCATTATTTGAAAGCGATATGAAGTCCAATTTCTACCATAGAATATATAGCACTATGTTATTAATACAAAAAAGCCGAATTCTTTCACTTTTGTGAGCAAGTTAATCACGTTTGATAATCACACTTTTTTGGACGTTAAGAAAAACTAGAAAATGTAAAGGTAATGGTTTGTAGAGCTCTTTAAGGTAATTTAGCATGCTGATTACGGAAATCATACCCAGTTTACATAAAAAGCTTCTTTGGTGACCTTACAGCATGTGTAAGGTAGAATGATTGCATTTTAACTGAGACTGCGCTAGTCGAGTTAATCAGCATGCTGTTCACGACAGCCATTCCTCCGGTGGAGTTGTGAAATACACGTTTGAACACTCCTCTTTTTCACCTTACTCGATCGTAGTATCCTCACTTTTTTGAATTACGACCCCCCTCCCTTTTGCTCTTACCCCCTATACGACCCCCCCATGTCCGGCGCGCCTGACCCCACCTCAACCCTGGTTATGGCAGTGAGGATTACGTGGGTTTGCGCATGGGAAAAATATATATATTGTTATAGATTTGGCTAGAACTTGGTGTAAGAGGAATGACGAGGTGTTGACGACAATGATTTATTTTGCATGACAGGATCTTTGTGTAAGGTTAAACCTTTTTCTTTGATAATGAATACGATGATAGTGCTCAATGCAAAGAATTATGACCGTGAAAATCAGGGCCGGTAGTAATCCCCCCGACCTGGCGGCAGGTCTCGTCGGCAGATCGCTGGCACCTTTCCGTGAGGTGGCCAGAAACTAAAACCCCAAATTTAGGCTGTCCCAGGCCTTTTTCCAAAAAATTTTCTCGATGAAGATGCCACCTCGACCCTATAGAAACCTCCATCGAAATTTGCAGTTCCAGAAATCCTCCTGTAGAAAAATATCTGGGAGCGCAGGAGGAGCTGCCGGCAACTTCGCGAGGTCAGTTGCCGGCAACCTGCCGGCAACTCGTCGAAATCCGCGAGATGGCAGCTGCCGGCAGGTCAGAGAGCGCGAGAAATGGCGTGCTCTTTTGGGAGAGGAAGCTGCCGGCATCTCGACGTGCCCCTACCACGTCGAGGTGCTGGCACCTTTGCCGACGGCGTCTGCGAGTTTGCGAATTGCGACGACATCACACAATCTACGTCAGGCGAAAAAGTCAAAAATTCTACTTTCCATCAAAAAACTATTATTTTTCTCGTTATATGAGTTTTTCTTTTTTTGAACGAAGATTTTCTTACAGAGAAAAAATCCAGTAATGCCTTAGAATCATAAAGAACACCATCTCTTTTGCCAATCCTTATATATAAAAGAATAGCAACGGAAAGGTGAACTTTTTTTGCACCGCCCGTTTTCGTTGCGGGGGCCTGGACACCGTACCCCTTTCTTTGAGTTTGAAGAAAAAAAAGGCGATTGACGCGCATAAACCGCAAGTGCAATGTAGTCTCCATGGGCTAGTGGCTAAGGGGTGCGACTCTCAGTTGCCAGACCCGGGTTCGATTGCCCGCTCAGGAATTCCTTTTTGCCACTAACGTTGGCTCCAGAAAACAGCTGATTTCTCCACAGATCCTATTATGTAGATAGAATCTGGTTCTCCAACTTCAAAGGTACCTCCACTTTGAGGCCAAATTTCGTCTTCAAAATGAATGAAACTCAAAAATCTAAGAGCTTTTCCTGTTCTTTTTACTGGTACCATTCCCTTCGACCCATCTTCAGTGGTTGGTGAGTTATGAGCCCTTAAAGTTATCGTATCGGTTAAAAATGCCGGTGCTTCTTGAATGAAATTTTTCTTGGTTCTGATGGCACACAGTTATACCT